TTACATCTTTCGAGAAGTAGTTTGGTAGAAAGCCGAACCTGGGGCATATGCGAGCGTATTGGTGCAAGGCGTGGATGCACATACTCGATGTGCGGCGGGGCAAGTTCTATAGTAAGGCCCGAAAATTAACCTTCGTAGGATACTCAGAACAACACAAAGCGTATCGTTTTGTTGATCTAGCGACGGAGAAAGTAACGATTAGCAGGGATGCCAAGTTTTTGGAGGTGGACGATGCTCAATGACAGGAGGAGCTTGCTGTACTCCCGGTCCGAGAAGAAAGTGACCCGGAATTGAACCTATTGGAAGAGCCGTCAACGGACAAGCAGCTGGATAAGCAGCCACCTGCTGAAGCGCCAGTAAATGGACCTGTGAATCCAGATTCAAGTGAACAATTGGAAGATACTGAAGTGAATCCCAACAAACATTGGAAGCAGAATAAGAGCCTATTCAGGCAAAAATATGCTTTTTTAGCTGTAAAATTGCTTATTCAGCCTTTAATCAACACAAATTGTTTGTTGGGATGACAGTGACCATAATGAACAAGAGGATTTTTTGAAAGATCCGCTAGCAGTGAAAGATGAGCCGGTACTCGCCAGTTACAGTGTAGGTAGCTGGTTTGACAGTTCGATAGGTAGACTTGGCTTCACTCTTGGCGTGACTCATTATACACCGACTCTAGGATTAATGAGTATTTCAAGCGTAACTTTGTAACGAGTACCATATTTCTGAATTCAATTTTCATCAATATTTGTTAGGAACATGAATTTAAAATAAATCTCATAAATAATCACCGCAGTCGTTGAGTGAATTCTATTAGTAGGTAATGAATTCGAGAGTGAAGTAGATATCCACCACTTGGCATAATGAAATTGTAAATGAGTTCTAGTTCAGTAGTGAGAGCCGGGGTGGTATTCATGTCCAATTGCTGCAAGCAGGCGGTAGGTTGCTCGATCGTCGTTTAGCGCGTACGTACATCGACCCGGTACAGATCCTTTGAAGATTTGTTAACCTTTCTCGAATTTCTCTCCTATCCCTGAATTTTGAGCCGAGCAGCGAATTGGATGATTGGAGTTGTTTGTTAGAGCAAGATGCCGATAGCGGAGGATGCAATTGATGAGAGCATTAGAACAATTTTCGTTGTATCACGAATATCTAACTTCGTTAGATTTACGTGATTTCCGGTGCCGAAGATTACGATAATGCGTTTAATCTGAGGATCCCCAAGAATTTGTCGATCACTTTGGACTGATCAGTGGAAGAGGCAGGAGTAGTCCACCCGTAATCTCGCGCCGTGGCGGGAGGTGCGACACATCTAAATCTCGATTTTAAATGGTCGAAAAATCTCACACTAGCGAATCAATCTACGGAAAATCTTTTTTCATCTCTCGCATCGAAACCCATCTACTCGCATCGCTCTCCACCTTTTTGCAGGAAATCTTCAAAATCACAATCAATCGTTTTTCTATCTATTAAGGGCGAGTGCATCTCACTACAGTAAAGAAATAAATTTCCTGCATCTTAGATAGAGTCGCCCCCTCGCGCCGTGGTGTGTTTAGTAAGGTAAACGTGACATGAGGTTCTTTCTAATTAGTGAAACTTAAGAATCCTTTCCCATTAGTTATTTCGATAGGCATTATTCGTTCCGAGCAGTGTGTGAAGCGTGTGTAGTGATTTTGGAGGAAGAAGGTAAAACTGGTAACAATTTCTGGTTTGTGCGATAGAGGCTCAACACGTGCTTGTGCAACGGTTTTTCTTTATACAGATTCGTGGCGAAGGTTGTGCACGCCTGACACACCACTCATTCAGCTTGTGACCATTTCTGACCCCATCATCGGTTTCGAAGGTAACCCGGGGTACGCCGGAAGAGGACCGCGACCGTTAGAAACGCGCCCTAGGCAAGGCGAAACGGCCACATTAGTAACAAAACCCGCGATCATCTTTTTGGGGACGACCAAAGTGCGATCAGCGATCGTACTGCGTCACACAAGCCACGTGTCCACGCTAAGTAGCATCGGGAGTTTCTAAACCGACCAACGCGTTCATCTGCAGCATTTTCCACCTGTACCTGAAGAAAAGGCACCGGATGATTCACCACCAACTCCTTCCGTTCATCCACCGCATCGCCGTCATCTGTATTGCAGCATAAATGGTCCGTGAGTACTGAATGAATCCCTTGTGAAATGTTTCGTCCATGCGCATTAGAGTGATGCAAAATTTGATATTTTCACTCCACAGTACTTAAACGATTCCAAATCGGATCTTGACTAACCTCCCAAAATTTTAACCCATTTGATGAGAAACTGAGATGGCACAAACCATTTGAAGTTTGTATGGGAATTACTATGGTAAAACCAAGATTTTTTGTTCATGACTATCTAATAATAATTCACCATATTGGTCTGCTTCAAAAACTTTCAACTGTACTTGTAGCAAATTTTTACAGCCAGCTACAACTATGCTTAAGACCACTTTTTGATTAAATGCAAGGATCGAAAGTTATCAATGGTTCAATGCGCTGATGTCTTATGATCATGCTCAATCAACTGCTCAGCAGGCAACATTGGTGTTTCTGGGGCGTTGAATAGGACACAAAAATCATGGCTACTATGTCACACTACAAAATACAGTGTTGCCTACAGAGCAGCTGCTTAATCATGTCATAAGTTTACCAACCTCTTAAATAATTAATAACCTTTTCCTGCCTCGTTTTACATAGAAACGATCTTCAGCAAAGTTGTAGATGAGAAAATTTTCTATAAGAATAACTATCGAGCTGTTTCACAGCTCAATATGGAAAAAGACTAGAAGGCAATGAACAAAAAGTTGAGATTTCCCATAGTAATTTACATGTAAACTTCAATTGACTTGCGCGAAGCCTGTTTCTAACCAAATGAGTTGTAACTTTGGGAGGCTAATCAGGACCCGATTTGAAACCATTTAAGCATTGTGGAGCGAAAAAGTCAAATTTTGCATCAGTCTAATGCGCATGTTGACTTGAAACTTGAGAGCCCGCAACCTGCAGCACTTTTCCGGTCTTGCGAGGCGTACACATTCTAACCGTTTGCACTTGAACCCAAATGAGAGCCGTTTGAACACGCACAGGAGGATGAAACATACCAGAACATAACCCAACACACACACGCTCGATAGACAGGTAGATAAAGAGGGAAACCCGGAAAAAAATAACCATACAATTACCATAAAATAAAATACAATTACATCCAAATCTATTGCCAACAATCGATCTTATTGTGCGTATATTGTACAAGAAATTTTAACATATTGTTATTACATTAAATGTACAATACGACCCATATAGTATGAATTTTCAACAAAAGAAAAACAATAAAATGAATGGTAAATGGCTCAAGTTTGTTCGGGAAAAAGTGATTTTTTGTACGGTTAAGATACATAACAACCCCCTTGTTCTATTGTAGATTTCTCCATTTACCATAGATTATATTGTGCAAACATTAAATTCTTTGGTTATTTTATAGTTGTGGACGATACAATTTATTTTAAGTACAATAAATTCTATTGTATGGTTACAATACATTTCATTGTACCTATATCGTTCTTTTTTTAAGGGAAGGTAGAGGCAATTAGGCAGTAGGTAGACAAAGCAAACAAAATGAACAGAACATGAACTTTCGCGCCTGTAAGTAGACTAGCCAACAAACATTATGGAATAAAGCTCTCTTTGGTTTTGGATAGGCAAATATAAAATAAAGTCCTGTAATTTCGTTATGCCAAAAAAGGTTGTTATATATCTGCCTTGATGAGATAGAAGTGAATCTGTTTGGAAGATTTTCATGTCACCGGTATTTTTTTTCCCGCTGTAGTTGTTTCTCTTTTGAGGTTTTTACTGGAGAGGTTGGCTCCGAAACCAACTGGAAAACTTCCAACTCTAACACGGGTTGTCTCAGGGTGAAAGTAGAGTCTTGGCCTGTGATGATAACCACTCGCATTGGTTAATCTTGGCCCGGGCGTTTTATTGGCAGCATTTTCTCCTCAGTTGCATTTACTTCACTATTTGTGACATACTTTTTCTAATCGAATAGCTCTAGTCAGCCAACTCGCTTTCCGCCCAAAATTTGGGAAAAATAGGAACCTAATCCTGCAAGGTCTCATACGGTCGGGCAACCTCACAATTGGTAAATGGTCTCCCTCGGGAGTGGCGCTTAAGCCATTTTACTTTCAACGGAAAGCTCGTCAGGCTGACGGGTTACAACTTTTCAAATCAACGTATCTGATTTTGTAAATAATCACTGAAATCGGAAATTTGTCTTAACTGCTCACTCACCCACACAAACAAACACCATCATCAAGTAGGGGATTCTTTACCCTACTAGCTGGTGTTGTTAGTTTCTGTAAGTGAGCTAGCAGTTACCACAAATCGTCGATTGAAGTGATTGTTTACAAAATCAAATGTGTCGATTTGAATAGTTACGCTTGATTTGATGCAACAATAGAAAATAAAATACGGATAGGATCAATTTGACACTCTGACAGATAATGTATGTTTATACTGATTTAATTTTAATTTATGGATGAATATGAGACTGCTTTGATCACTTTTGATTGATTATGTGTTACTCAAATTTACTCGCTGTGGAAATATTAACTCTGAGAGTACAGCCGTCTTGCCCCTAGGTTGAGGCGCAGTCATGACCCAACTAACGAGTTCAGGCTATACAATTATTCCACTAAAACGCTCACCAATCAATTTAGACTCGATAGTCCGGTAATGATTTTGTTGTTTTAGTGGGAGGATACTGTACAATAAATTCTATTTTATGTTTACAATACATTTCATTGCGCCTCTGTTTTTTTACGGGCCCTTTTGAAAAAGAATAACAAATTTTGTTCCTGATTTGAGTCTCCCGATGTTTCTTTTTTCAGTGCAAATAAAAAACAAACTTTCTCCGAACAAGACCGGCAACACTGCTCCCGCGGTTTTGACGTTCCGCTTTGTTCGGCGTCTGTCTCGCACCTGTGCGCAAAGTAGACGTGCAAAAGACGAGAAGAAAAGTAGTGGAAAAAAAAAGTCAAGAAAAAATGAAAACCTAAACAAAAAAGTGTAGTCGAAGAAAGTTTTTCCTCCCGAATTTTGCACAAATTATTGCCATAAAGTGAAAACCATTCCAAAAAATTCCACCTCCAACGGCGTCATGAGCCGCTAGGGCACGCGGGGAAACTACTGTTTTTGCCATAGGAGGTTCCTTCCGGTGAAAATCCATCCCCCCTCCCCCAGTTGAAAGTGTCGGAAGGAAGGAGCGGAATCCCAATCGAAAGAAACAACACAATGATGGACATCTGCCGTCTAGCATCGGACGATCAGCCGGACAGTATCAAGATGGTTGAGATAGACTTCCAGGCGCTGTGCCGGATATGTGGCGCCCTGGGGGAAAATTTAACTTCGGTGTTCGGAAAGCGAGCTGCCGACCGGCTGCGGGAACGCATCGGCAAGTATCTGCAGATCGACATCCTGGCGGAGGATTGTCTGCCGACGAAGGTTTGCGACGGGTGCCGCGAGACGTTGGATCGGTTTCATGAGCTGTACGAAAAGTGTCACCGGACGGACGAGAAGTTCCGGACGATGATGAACTCGGCTGAGGAGCTGAAGGATGCTGTGGCGGTGGTGGCCGAGGAGGAAGAAGCGGATGAGGAAGAGGAGGAGGAGGAAGAGGAAAAGGAGACTAAGCTGGTGACGGAGGAAGAGGTGCTGGAGAAGGAGGTGGAGGTTGAGGTGGAAGAGGAAGCGCCAGTTTGCAAGAAGGCGAAGGAGAGCAAGCGAGATTTGAAGCAGGAAGAAGCGCAGGGGGATTCACCGGAGAAGCATGGGTGAGTAAGCTTTTCGAGATTTTTGTAGTTAAGTGTAAATTTGGGTTGAGCCACAGCTGTGTGATGGAGTGCCGAGTATCTCAACATGTAAGATAAGTACTAACTGGGTGCTGTATTCGTTGCAGGGAGCTTCTTCGGCACTCCATCCAAGTTGTGAGCTTTCAACGGTTGAATCACGAGGATGATCTCTGCGGGGAATATCAGTTTCTGGATGAACAATCTGAAGAAGACGAAGTCGAACTGCCGCAATCGTCGGCCCTGGGTCGGGCTCAAACCGTTCCTCTTTCGAGGGAAATCGTTGAGCAGGGCAAAGTCCTCGTAGATGGGAAGGCTACTTACAAGTGCGCCGAATGTGGGAAGAAAATGGCTTCTCCGTATACCTATCAAGCTCATCTGAGGATTCACAGTGGTGAACGCCCATTCCAGTGCCCTCATTGTTCGCAGTCATTTCGAATATCGCAAGGACTGGCACGGCACGTGCGCGAAGTGCACGAAAAGGTGCGCAACTATTCCTGCGATATCTGCGGCAAATGCTTCGGGAACGGTAGGAATCTGAAGGAACATCGCTTCCTGCACACGAATGAGAAGCCGTACAGTTGCGCCATTTGCGGAAATTCCTACAACCAGAAGGCTTCGCTGCATATCCACAAGCGGACTCACGAAACCAATCGGAGCTACAAATGTTCGGTCTGTTCGAGGAGTTTCTACACCCGTTCGAAGCTGCAGCTTCACCAAACGACCCACTCGGATGAGAGGGCCTATGCGTGCGACGAGTGTGGACAGAGCTTTAGGTCGTCGCACAACCTGGCTCGGCATAGGAAATGTCACGCATCCGATGTGGCGTTCCAGTGTACGGTGTGCGAGGCGATTTTCAAGCAAAAGCGGTACCTGATGAAGCACCATAAGAGGCAGCACCAGCAGGAACAGCGGGATGGGAATTAAATGAAGTCGGTTGAACTAGATATTCAATAGAGCCGCATAAATTATAAGATTCAAAGCTAAAATGGTGTATTATTGGATGACATCAGGGTGGTCACTGAACCGAGAAATAACAGGGAATTTGATTGGAACCTTAAAACATATATATTTTTAATTGAAATCTGTTAAAATATTCAAACTCTGATTTCTTGATTATTTTGCTTAGAATCTTGAATATTTCCTTAGTCTTAAATGTCTAGAAATCATCTGGAGAAGTAATTGTTCAGCAAAGCTGTCCGCGATGAGCCGGGTCGTTGAAGTATTTCTTCTAGGAGATGCTCCAGATCAATCAACTGGCAGCGACTTTCATAGCTAGGCAAGTGAAACGGGTCTCTCCAAGGTAGCTTCCTCAGAGCGTATCGAAGAAAACGTCGCTGAACAGACAGCACTATTGTTGTAGTTTGGACTCCAGGCCACAGAATAGTATTCCAGAATGGATCGCCCCAAGAAACAGTACAGCGACTTGAGGCAATAGATGTGACAATCCTGACGATAAAGCCCAATGTCCTTGACGCCTTGTCAACGTACGAGTTGAGAAACTAAAGTGACTCCCAGATCTTTCACATGGCTCACATAGTCAAATATGACCGGATCCTTCTTTCGGGTAAATGTGATAACTGAACACTTCTTTGGGTTAACCGTCATTCGGTTCAAATTGCACCAACTGGCAAAGGCTTCAAACTGACGTTGAAGGAAGTGACAATCATCAAGCGAGCAGATCCGCAAGTAGATTTAAGATCATCTGCATACGATAGTCGTGGACCTCCGATAACCAAATTCACGTCATTGAAGTAGAGTTAGACGATCATTGGTCTCAGATAACTTCTTTGAGGTATTCCTGACTTGGCTAGAACATTATTAGACCGGCAGTCAACAATGGCCACCACCAACTGCTGGACAGCGGCTTCCAGGTGAATTTCGTGACCGAAGACATGGCCAATCGCCTGGGCCTGCCGAAGAAGCCAGTCAACATTCCTATCACCGGTACCAAACCGTTGCGCACCCTCGAGTAACGGGCACAATTCTATCGTCGAAGATCAACATCTATGGGGCATGTGGTTCATTTTAGACATTATAGTCTGACGTGAGAACCATGTTCCACTCAAGTTCTGGAATTTGGCCTTGAGACTTGAGATCTGGCCTTCATAAGACCCCCTTCTGTCTCGCAAAATCAAAATCAAAATCAAAATTATATCGTCGAAGGTCAACATCAACAGTTGGGACATTCCCTATGGAGTGGTTCTGGCTGATCCCGAGTTCCACACGCCCGATAAGGTGGACCTGTTGATCGGTGCAGAGCTGTTTTTTGGATATCATGAAGCCAAGCCAACTCAACCTGGCGGACAACCTGCCACTCACTCACCTTGGGTGGATCGTATCTGGTGTCATCGTCGAGCCACAGATTTTCAACGCATAGACCATCCGCGCTTCTCTTAAAGACATCGAGTGAATAATGCACAAGTTCTGGCAAATCGAGGAACTGCCGGACGTATCCAAGCTATCAACCGAGTAGATGGTATGCGAAGCACACTTTCTGTCCACATACCAGCGTGACGCGTCCGGACCGGAAGATTTATCGTGAGCTTGCCGTCCAACGAAAATTCTTCGTAGTTGGACGATTGCCGTGCTTTAGAAGGGTTCCTGATGCTGGAGAAACGACTGGTGAATAATCCCGAATTACACGCGCAGTAAATGTCGTGTCGTGTTCGATGCTAGTGCCAAGTCGTCGTCTGAAAAGCTGTCCCTGAACGAAGTCCTGCAAGTTGGTCCTGTGGTGCAGAATGATCTGCATTTCATCGTCCTACGCTTCCGTAAGGTAAAGATCCCCTTTTCCGGAGACGTTGCCAAGATGTACCGGCAGGTACTGCAAGCGCTTCATTTTCTGGAGACCACATCCGTCGCAAAAGCTACGGGTACTAGAACTAGAACTGTGTACCGTTACCAACGGTACAGCATCTGCTTCATACCTCGCAACGAGGGGCCTGGTACAGCTCGTCGAGGAAGAAGGTGAGTTTTTTCCCCATCGCCACTCGCATCGTAAAGGAGAAGACGGACATGGACGATTTTCTCGCCGGCGCAGACTCGTTGGAAGATGCAATCGAAGCCTAACAACAATTGAATCAGCTCTTACGAAGTGGTGGTTTTCCGATACATAAATGGTGCTCGAACTGCCAAGAATTTCACGAACGCATTTCCGTGGAAGACCAGTAGAAAAGGGTACCGTTAGACGAAAGCGGGGGTGGCTTACTCTGGGATCCGACTGCCGATACGCTGTACATCGCAAACCATCCGAAGCAACCGTCGCCATCACAACAACGTGTTCCTAAGAGGGTAATGTATTCGGAAATGTTTCGACCCCCGACGATCCGGTCGACGAAGACACGGCGCAAGGGTGGCAAGTGTTGAGTATATACAACGCAGTATGCCTTGCTTTTAGAGCATAACTTCATTTTCTTCAGTTCAAATTATACTACTGACAAATAAAGACGTTCCTTTCAATTTTAGTTCGAATAGTATTTCGAGTCCAGTCCGATTGTTCCCACTTCTGCCGATAGGTTATGGGCCCAGGCAGTGCAATCGGAACTGGTGAAGATAGAATTTGAATTCGTAACGAAATGGCGGACAAGCTGATGTCGTTTTCAAGGCTCAATGGATCCAATAACGATAACTGGAGTTTCCGGATGAAGCTTTTGCTGACCAAGGAAGGAAATTGGACGACCATAGCGGACGCAAGGCCAGAAGCGGTTACAAGTGCGTGGAAGACCAAGGATGATCAAGCGCTGGCATCGATTGGATTGGCCGAGGAGGATAACCAATTAATCCACATAAGGAAGGCCAAATCGGCGGCGGAGGCGTGGAAAGCTCTAGAAAAATTCCATGTCAAGAAAACGTTAACAACGAAGGTCTCTGTGATGCGGAAAATTTGTAGTCAACGCCTTGAAAAACATGGAGATATGGAAGCGCACGTATCGAAGTTGGCGGAATTGTTCGAGAAGCTCAACAATTTACAGCCGGAAAAGATCCTTGACGACCAACGGTTGGTCGCGATTTTGTTCAGCAGTCTGCCGGAGGAGTACGAGACGTTGGTAGCCGCCCTTGAAGCTCGACCAGAGAATGATTTGACCCTGAATATGATGAAGGGCAAGCTCATCGATGAATGACAGAAAAAGAAGCAGCGCAACGATGATAGCGATAATCCTGAAGCTGTTCTCTATGCAAGTTCAAAGGCCGAAAAAGACCGGTGCTTCTTCTGCAAAAAGTTAGGTCACCAGAAGGCAAATTGCGAAAAGTTCAGAGTATGGAAGGCGGAGAAAGGAAACGGAGCTGTATCCAAGCACCGAAAGGCAGTATCGAAGCAACAGAAAGCCAACCACGTATCGCAGTAAGATGATGATGATAGCTACGCGTTTCTCACTGGATGCAATAGTCAAGCGGAAGACCAATGGATTTTGGATTCCGGTGCAACCTGCCACATTGCAAATTACCGGAACTTCTTCGAGGATTTGGATGATGCAGCTACTGAGGACGTTTGGGTCGCCAACGGGACGAAGGTACGTTCGAAAGGCCGAAATGCTGGGCGAATAAATGTGCTAGATGGTTCTGGTCGACTACGTGAAGTTCCAACAGAAAGCGCTTTGTATGTTCCTGAAATGAAGTCAAGTTTGCTATCCGTGAAGCGGCTGGTGCAAAAAGGATTCGTCGTCACATTCGACGCAACTGGAGCGAGAATCATGGAAGGTGAAAAGATATGTGCTATGGCGGAGTCCGTTGGTAACTTGTTCATAATTCGTCAATCAACCGAAAACGTATCCATGGTGATGACGAACGATGACTGTGTGCATGCGTGGCACAGACGATTGGGACACAGGGACTGCGAAGCGGCGTTGAAATTGCAGACCTTGGTCATCGGCGTGAGGGTGGACCAATGAGGACGGCGACTCTGGGCGGAAGACGATATTTCATCACATTCATCGACGACTACAGTAAGTACACGGTCGTTTATTTGCTACCGAAGAAGTCTG